TAAAAACGAAAATATATGTTTATATAATATGATTTCATTAAAAGGGAAAATTAACAAAATAGTAACATCCATTAAAAATATTTTAAATAACATAAAATGTACTTTTTAATTAATAAAATACTTTCTTTATATTTGTATTTTCTTATATGAAAATATCTATTTTTATATAATGTGATTTCATAACAAAAAATTCACACATATAATTTTGATATTTGAAAAAAAAAAATTACTTTTAAACATAATTTTAAGTAACATAAACAAGTATATGTTTTTATTAACTAAAATAGTTTTTAATTAAAATTATTGAATATTTTATTTATTTTCATATATTTAGTTGACTATAGTATCTTTCAACTAAAGCAAAAAAAAAAATCTATAAATTAAATTTTACTTATATAATATCATTTTTCAAATACAACCACAATTTTACCGCTTATTTTTAAGAGAAATTAAAATATTTTTTTAACAATATACATCTTTTAATCAAATAATTACAAAATATTTTAAAATATCATACAACTATATACTTTAATGACATAGATATGTTATATTCTATCATTATTTAAATTATATGTTTCTTAATTTTAAATTTTTGTAAAATTTTTTATGTTTGTGTAACTTAATATAACCATAATAAAAATACCAAAGCAAATCCGAATTCTCATTTTTAAGATTATTTAAAATAATTTCAGTTTATCATTCAATAAATCTAAGATATAAAATTATTTAGAATTTATAAAATATTTTAGTTATTGTAAATATTGATATGTGTTCATGAATCTCCAAAAATATATGAGTTACNTTGCTTTATTTTCTACTATATTTTAAAGAAACATATAACTTGATAAATATTATGAAAATACGTGCACATTTAAATGATAAATAATATTACTTTAATTTGATTTATTTTGTGAAATTTATATATATGCATGAGACTTCAAATATTATCTTTATATCGATTGATGTAATTTGAAATCAAAATTATTTTATATTTCATTATAGGCATAATATATCTTAAGTTATAAATAACTTTTCTAAAATATATTGACATCTGAGACAGCAAACAACCTAAAAGTAAATAATAGAATTAATCAAAATTTAATATGTTTAGAATAAAAAATATTATAGTTGAATTTAGATAAAAGAATGTAATCTAATATACCCAAATAATAATAGTAAAATCGACTATAAAATAATAAAATTGATTAGATATAATATTTCTAAAATAATATGTCTAATTAAAGTAAAATAATATTATTAATATAAATCATGTATGCAAATTATAAATTAATTGAAAATTAAAAGTAAATAGTAATAAATTATTATAGTATATTTACTTAATAAATATTTATACCCGTGCATGAGCACGGGGAAGTCACCTAGTTTAAAATAAAAAGATATCAAAAGATATTATAATTGAAGTGGTTACAAAGAAATGAAATATATTTAATAAATGTTTTGTGCTAGTGGTCCAAATAAAGAAAAATCACACATGAAATGAGTCATGACTTCTCTTTTAATATAATAGATTGGTGGGTTTGATTTCAACTTTAAAATATTCCGAAGTTGATTTCATGTGCATAAATAGAAGAGTGATAACCGTTGCTACCAAAAAAAAATGAACATGATACGATTCTTTTGTTTTGTTTGTTTCGTGAGGCAAAAGTCAAAACACAGACCCACTTTTCTCTTTTGTTTGTTTTGGCTCTGTAATAAGCTGATACCGATTCGTTCAGACAATCGAGCCTGAAATATGTCTGGAAGAACCTTCATAGTCAACATCTTCCTCTATGAGCGGCCGTGTATCCGCCGCAGGATCGTATCCCTGAACGACGAGCACCGACGCCGTGGTTGTAAACTCCGACGACGATAACAAACCTCCAACCGGTCCTAACTCCGGACAATCCGTACTGTTAACCAACGACGCAACCGCCGCGTTTCTCCCCACGATAAAAAGATTGCATTTGCTCGTCGCCTTAAGCGTCGCTTTGACATCTTCTTTGCTCTCAACGACTCTCTCCTCATAAGACAACGACTCATTCCCTCTTGGATCGTTCATCAGCTCCCTCAAAAACTCTTCATCAATCTCTTTTACTTTCTTCTCCTTCTCATCGTCTTCTCCTTTGTCGAACCTCTTCAGCGTCCCTTTCCCAGCTACGAATTTGAGAATGGTTAGTGAGATCCCTGGATGCTCCACCATCTTCATCCCATAAGCTAGAGCTTCTCTATCGTCAAGGCCTCCGAAGAAAGGAACCACGATCTTGTAATCAACTTCGCTGGCTACTACATGAGACGTTCCTCCGAGTCCTCTATCCACAAGAATCCCAACGGAGCAAGGAGCTCGTTGCAAGACACGTTTGTTCACTTCGTGGAACGCGTGACCTATCGACTCCATCGCTCCATCTACTCTCTGATGCTTGTGAAACGGGAGGAGAATCATCGCTACTCGTTTCTGGTGCGCGCTTGTGCATATGTCTTCGTGTATACTGCTAAGGTCAGAGATTGCTGTCATTGGTCTAACCGCTACGGCTCGGAGATGCTGGTAAGCCTCGAAGGCAATCACCATCTGATCCGTTGATCTCTCGACCTTGTTCCACGCCGGGAGACCGTTCAACCGAGCTTTGTGAACCATCGCTATCGCTGATGACCGCTCAGAGAGCTCCATTAGATGCATCGCGTAGACGCATAGACGTCCTCTCTGTCCCGTCCCTCTTGATGACTCGATCATGTTAATCAATGTAGGGATGTTGCGTGTACTATGGAAGCAAGCGAGTATACGTAACTCGGAGTCATGGTCTTTTCTTTGGATTGTTCTATGCTTATACGGTGCTCCTCTTCTCGCAGGTTTGTAAATCGCCATCAGAAGTGGAGTTGTGATGAAGGTTGTGACCAATGCCATTAGGACTAAGATCGCAAACGCTTGATCATTCAGCACCTTACGGTCCTTGCCGATGTTTAGAACAATAAGCTCAACTAAACCTTTGGTGTTCATAAGGACTCCAAGTGACATGGCTTCTCTGAAAGGAACTTTGCAGAGCATTGAGGCCACAACGGTTCCTCCAATCTTCCCGAAACAAGTGGTGAGTATGACAAGAAGTAGAAGTCCCCATGATTGTGCTCCTCTGATCGTTGTTACATCGGTTTTGAGACCGCTAGACGCAAAATAAAGCGGTAGAAGAAGCCCTGAGACAAGATCCTCTATCTTCTCAGTCAAAATCCTGCAGAAAGGTCCTTCTTTAGGAGTCACTATACCAACAACAAACGCCCCGAACAGAGCATGTATCCCAATAGTGTCTGTCACAAAGCTTGCCGCTAAAACCAAGGTTAGAGTGACACAGACATAGAGTTCCTTCACAGGCTCTCCTTCAGGGCAGCGTTTAGCCATGTAACCAAGGAGAGGTCTGATTGCCAAAACTGCAAAGATCACAAAACCAGAACCAGAGAGGAGAACCCAAAGAGGTACAAGAGGAGAACTGTCATTTCCTGAGAGAGCAATCGCGAGCGCGAGGAGTATCCAAGCTGCAATATCATTCACACCCGCTGCAGACATCGCCATACGTCCAATGTCGGTTGTTAGAAGCTTCAGCTCAGCTAGGATACGAGCAAGCACAGGGAAGGCAGTGATTGATAAGGCAACACCCATGAATACTATAAATGGAAGCTGGTGGACTCCTTTGCTTATTGTGGAACTGAGAACAAAAGACGTGCCTACACCGAGTATAAAAGGAAGTGAGATCCCAGCTAGGGCTATCAGTAGTGACTTCTTTCCGGTTTTTCTGATGGCTGCAAAGTCAAGCTCAAGCCCAACTAGAAACAAGAAAAACAGAAGACCGATGTTTGCGAGCGTGTCTAAAACGGTTAGGCTCTTCTCAGGGAAGATGGTGTCAATATACACCTTGCTTCGTCCCAGAGCAGTAGGTCCAAGCAGTATCCCTCCCTACAGAACCATACATTTTAGTCTCTTACTATATGATAACTGAAAAGAAAAAAAAAATATACAGAGAGACCGAAAGAAACTGACAATGATCTCGGCAATGACCCGGGGCTGTTTGAGAGGTTTAAGAAGGTAAGCCAAGAGCCTTGTAAACACAACCACCAAGCAGATCTGTAGGATGATCAGAGGAAGCGCGAAATCAAGAGGGCTTTCGTGTTGGAAGGCTCCATTAGAAGAAGCCTTCATTGCAGCCGGGCAAGCGCTTGTAACATTGGTGCTAGCCATCCTCCTCACGATCTAACTTTCAGGGTTGATGATTTGGTCGAGAGAAATGCAAAACTTCTTAACCCCTCAATAATGCCCTTGTCTGCTCCCTCATTGCATTGCCAAGCGAGGGATGAGACTTGGCCAGGAGGAGAAAGGAGGAAAACAAGATCTATTCTGCTACGCCTTCTGTTTTCATATACAGAATTCCACTTCAAGAAGTGAGGATATAAAAGGGAGTAACAGAAAACTATTTATGTAGACAGTGCTAAGAATAGGAAGGCGAGAATGAAGACATACCAAGTCCAGGGTCATACACCTTGCACCTTTTCTATTTATAGACAGTCAGTTACTTTTAACTTCCAACCAAATTGCATCTCTCCTTTCACAGACATGAACTGCCTATACTGCACCAATTTTTTTCATTTCTGTTATGTCAGTTTTCCTAATTTTACAAGCACTTGTAAATGTCTCCTGAAAAGAGGCAATTTGATGTCTCCCTTCAAAGATTCTTAAACATCAACCAATTTCACTTATATGAAATACACAATATTTCATGAGATGCATTAAAATGAGTAAGAACAACTCACAGTAACCAGTAACCACCACGGCCAAAGGCCACATTGTGATCCCTTTCTCCACGCAGAATTTTGCTATAGTTTCTTTGCTACCTCCTAATCAGTTCCAAAGGCGGTTTAGCTGACAATATTTGTCTCATTCACCCATACAAAAAGAGATCAAGGTATGTAAATCTAACTGAAGCCAAGGGTCTCATGCTAAAGCTTAAGAGATGCTTCAGCTAATAACTTCTGCAGACAGTGGGACTAGCTGTGTTGTAGCCAAACTCCTCAGAGATCGGAGTCTGGTTTGAGTGACCCAAAAATTCAAAAGCTGAAAAACTAGCCACATATTCATTATGGTAAACATTATTTGTAACTCCACTATAAAAACATTGTTTTTTTCCCTATAAGCACTTAATATCATCACAAAGATTCCGTGTTGTCCCTCGAATTATACCCAAACACAAGAACACTCATTTGCAATAAGGACCCATACATAGAGAACCAAATCTTCAACAACAGAAGAGAAGACAAATCACTAAGCTCTCTGTCCTAAGCTAATGCAATGAGTGACTCAGCTTAAACTTCATTCACAACTCCCCTCTGAGAATGCTCCATAGGTTGTTAACTAAACCTCTCTAGTCTTCTACGCCGCAGCTCATCTAAAGGAAGATCACCAGAAGAAGTCGGAGAATGCGCCTGTCCCTGATTCACTGACCATCTGTTTCCTCCACTCCGTCCCGAGCCACACATCTCACAAACACTTTCCCAACCAGAATTGTCAAACGTACACGACTGGCATCTCCAGATACCAGGTCCTGCAATCCCATTCTGACCTCTCCCAACTCTTCCTCTCCCCGTAATCCTCCTCCTTCGAGACCCAACCATACTGCTCAAAAACCTCAATGGCCACGTCACCGCTCTAGCAACACCTCTAACCACCATAGCCACAGGATCAGACCCCGAGTAAGAACTCTTCATCTTCATATAAAGAATCCCCGCAAGAATCCCACCTAAATGTCCAAGAAACGAAGCTCTCGGCACAAACATCTGCACCAAAACCAGCTCAGCCCAAGCAGCATACTTCGTCGGGACAAGAACCCCATACACGCTGGTGTAATCCTCAGCCTGAGAATTAAGAACAACTTTCAAAGCAAATAAAACACCGGAGAATCCCACAGAGTACTCGTGGTAATACGCTCTCCTGTAATCAAAGAACACGTGGAGGGACTTGGCTAAGAGCAATGTGACTCCCTGTGACATACCGAGAAGAGTAACGACCATAGAAGCAAACTGTGTGCTTCCCATGGACGTCTCGAGCTTGATACCTTTCCAGAGAAGAGACATCATGTTGTATACTAAGTGAGGCTCGTTGAGATGGTAGAACGCTGATAGAAAAAAGCGTTTCAAATCCTTGTGCTGTTCAAAACAAAAATACACAAACAGTAAAACAAGTTAACATTAGTCCTATTATCCCATATCGGAAAACTGAAGCGGAACCTAACCAAAAACCGAGACCCAAACCGGTCCGAAAATTACAAAAACCCAAATGGTTCATATGTTTCTAAATCCAAAAAACCGAACCAGACCGACAACCGAACATATAAAGAATATTTTTAATATGTTGAAAATATTAATTATTTTAATTTTAGTATGTATAAAATATAATTTATAGATAAATATATCTAAAAAAATCCGAACTACCCAAAGAATCCCAATATCTTTTCGGGTTTAACTCGGATTTTGTGGATTTTTTTCGGTTTATTGAGCTTTAAATCCTAACCAACTCGAATTATTTGTAATACGGTTCCACTTCGGGTTTTATAAAAAGATAGAAACCCAACCGAACCCAACATTATCCGAACCCATCCGAAATATGTCCGGTTCCTAAACTCTTCCTGAACATCCCAACCTAATAAACTGAACTGATCTAAATGCCCAGGACTAGTTAGCATAGATCACAATCCCTAATTCTCGAATTGAGGAATCCCTAATTCTCCAGAAAATCGGCGAAACTGCAATCACATGTGTGTAATTGAATTATCGAATTGAGGAATCCCTAATCCTCCAGAAAATCGAATTCAAGATCGGCGAAACTGCGTGTGTGTAAATCGAATTCTCGAATTGAAGAGGTATTATTACCTTGAGGATGAGGTTTGGATTGAACCAGACCTCGCTTATGTGAGGGATAAGGGGATCCAGAAACGCGGGTCTGAGATAGACGAGAGTGTTCGCGGCTAATAAACCTGCTGTGACCGGCGGTTTCCACGGTAGTCTATAGTATTCTGCGACTGTGCTAATCGCCAGCAGTGGGAGCATGCCTCCTGTTCCTCTTCTTCTTCCTTCCCCAAAATTCGCCATTGCTTCGATATGATTCTTTCCTTCTGATCTTTCTTCAGAGTCTTTCGCAAATTCCTTAATCAGTTGAATATTTATATATAGCAGCTTGGTCGCTACGAAAACAATTCTCCAGACGCTTCTTTTCATATACAAGACGTGGGACCCACCAACCATCACATTTGAAAATACAGTTTAATCAGAAGCCTAATTAATCTCGATTAAATCCTAATTACTTTCTCTTATTATCCCACAGGAGATTTTCAAATCGAATGTTATTATATAAAAAAACTGTTATAGAAAAGAGATAATTAATCAACATAACATTTGATTAAGTAGAGATCTTCTCAGTGATGATCATCTGGTTTAGGCCTAGTGTTAATAAGCATTTTGCGAAGCATTGTGTTCTCGTTCATCAAAGTAGAGATCTTCTCCTCAAGTTCATCATTGTTGTTCTGCAACTCATTAGCTCTTGATTCCAAATCACTCACATACACTTTCTTCCTCTCCCTCGCTTGTTGTGCAGATACTCTATTCCTCAACAATCTGAAATATTTTCAAACTCAAACCAAAAAAAATAAAACTCACATTCATTACTTTCTTTTTTTCATTACATTGCAAATGCATCATAACTTTTAGTAACAAAGACTAATGATTTTACATATACTTTATTACCTCTTGAGGCTTCTGTGTTCTTTATCGGCTGGGGTTCGTCCACGGGGTCGCTTGGCGTTTGAGGTTGCATTTTGTGTCTGGTCAATCTCTTGATTGTTGGGACCACTGAAAGTCCTGAAACCAATCAAACACCATACAGTTCTGCAACTCGTTTTTGACGAAAACTATCTTGAATAAAAGTTTTGTTTGGCTTATAAAAGAACACGTAGGTTCGTGCAAGGCCATAAATGCAAGAAAAAAAGTTTCAATCCAATGGTCAAAACGCGCAGTTGCCGAAATGCATTTTTCTTATTTTCCCACTATACCTGATTTGGTATGTTTAATTGATTGTTCTGTTTTTTCTCTTAAAGTCTTTGGTTCATGATTTCTTATGCAAACAAACAACCTTTATTGACTGAGCGTGTGGTTTTAAGACCCATTAGTATAGCAAGCATAATACAAAACGTACTTGCAGACAAAGTCAGAGATAGCATAACTACGTGCGCATATGTTTGCATGGCCTAGAAGAAGGCATGCACAACAAACTCATCATGTAGTCATATATACAAAATTTTAGAGATGTCATTCAAGAAGATAGTAGTGCTGGTTGAAACAATTCTTCTTCAGCACTCTTACAAGATATAATACAAAATTAAGAACATATTATTGTACTAGGATAACCGAACCCATTACGTACCGAACTTTGATTTGTGCTCGTCTTACTCGTTTTCTTCTTTAAACTGGATCATGGCTAATAAGAGCACCTACAACGCTGGGTTCTCCTCAATCCTTAGCGTTATTCCCTAGACAAATTGGGTGAAAAAAATATTAAAAAAAAAGCAGAGGGTAAGGATTAATCCTTAGCTAAGGAATTTAAGGATCAAGTCCTTATCAACGTGGCATCCCCTACTCGTCCTCCATTCTCTGCTTCTGCCCATCACTATCTATCTCTCTCTCAGGTTACCAAAGCTTTGAACTTTGTTTTTGATGTATGGATTCAATTTGCATTTCTGCTTAGATAGATACTTTTCGATTTCTGGCTTTGGTGTCTTCAAGCTTTGCTCTGTTTTTTTTTTTTATGTCTCCAAAGTTTTGAGCTTTATTGGAGGTTATTTCCCAATTCAAGCGGCGATGATTTCCGGTGGGAAGTTGCATGTCGGATTCTCCAGTCTGGATCAGAAGATTTTGCTCTTGAATCCACAGCTCCTCTACCTTCTATGAACGATCTCTTGCTCCAAGGTTTTTGGTTAATTGTTTTTATATATTTTTGGGTTGTTTTATGATGTGTGAAGCTGAGATTAATTGTTTTTGATGAATGATGGTCGAAGCTTATACAAGGGGATGAAGCGAAGCTGAGGAATTCTGTAGCTCTAAAAGAGTATTCGATTGCTAAAGCCAAATTAGATGCTAAAAGAGTATTCAGTCAGTTATTGAATGTTGTTTTTGATTTTAAATAGACATGGGTAGCATATATGTATGTTTTTGATTTTGTATCTTGATGTCATCGCCGCTTGAATCGGAAATCTCCCCTTGATATCATTAAGATTAGGTTTCAGGTACCCTGTCCCAGGAGCTGTTCTTGAGGAGCTCAACGCACAGGTTCGTCTGCTTTTTTCAGGTAAGTCTCTCCTCCTCCGCCTCACAGCTCCATAAGCATGACGAAGACTGGAAACGTAATGGAGGAGCAGGTAAGCTAACCTCTTTGTCTATATCTCTAGTTCTTTTCAATCTTTGTACTAGACCATATACTAGTGGCATGAATATTGAAGATGTAGCACAATGGGACAATATGTTCGTGGCATATGTATAAAAATGTGTGAAATCTCTAGGTAACTTGATTCAGTTTTAGTGTTATGGTTGAATAATCCATTTGTTGTAAATGGTTTTACTCAATGCATTTGCTTCCCTGTGGTAATGGTTGAGTCCAAGTAGCTTAAAGGATATTACAGTGAGGCCACTGCGACTGAACTGCAGGAAGAATCAGAGAGATAAATTCAGTTTAGTCAAGGTTAGGCAAACTGCATACAAGAGAGATAGAAGTAAGTTATATCATAATGTATAGGAAGTCTAGTGTTAACACATACATAAGTCAAAAGAGTAGGCCCTAAAATGATTACAATAGCTTCATTCTCCAAGTTCAGATCGTCCTCCTGCACCAAAACCAAGTGAACTTAAGCACCAAAACCAGTGTCTTTAACTTGGTGTGTTTCTACTTACAGGAAGCTGTTGTTCGTCTTTCTGAACTAGAGCAGTCTCCGCCAGCAGCAGTACTGAAGTCTATCCAGCCTTTTCTGAATGCAGTTATTAAACCTGAAATTCTCAAGCATCAAGACAAGGATGTCAAGCTTCTTGTTGCCAGCTGCCTTTCTGTGATAACTCGTATCACGGCACCTGAAGCGCCTTTACTACATTTCTTGATGTTGCTAGGTGGGTTGGGTTTCACTTTTAATCTTAGCTTAATACCATTGATGGTGCTACATTGGTGAAGATGGTGATGGTGATACATATATATAGAGAGAGATGTTGATTTCTAAGATTCAATTCAAAAAAAAAAAAATTCTAAGAACTCCATAAGGATAACACCATTGTACACCCATTTATAATAAAAATCCTTAACTATTCAAAAAAAAAAAAATTAATATTTTAGTATTAAGGACTCCAATGGTGGGTAACACCATTGAAGTTGCTCTAAGAGCCGTGCTTACCCCTTGTTGAAAAAGGCAATAGCCCCATAGGTTTTCGTTAATATCTAGGGCCCCATTTATATATAAAATGCATTAGTTAGTGTTATGTATGTTTACTGTACATAAAGAGTTTGATTGTCAGTTGTCATATATCCTTTTTCTAGAGTTTAGTTTGGATTATGTTTTTAGACTCTAATTATAAACATAGTCGCTATATCTACCATTTTATTTATTTGTGAACGTACCAAAATCTTATATGAAGAGATCATTTGAGAACAAAATTGCTCTTGTCAAAAGAAAAAAAAATTTCTTAGACCCCTTAAAACGTTCGCATGCCACTGAATGAAAGATGATCAGTGTTTGCATATCACTCAGAGGGCCCCCGTGCCTATCAACTAAAATCATTAGATGTCACATATTGTTCATTGGCTGTATTGTATACAAACTTGGAAGTATGATTGCATCTTTATGTATGCATGAACATGCCACGTTAATTTAGGAGTACATATCATGATAATGATTTCTCTTGTTATAAATTTGGTTACAAAGTGTTGTCCAGAAAAAAAAAATTGGTTACAAATACAATACCATCTCTATATATTACTTCAGTAAAACGTTTAATTCTACGATGGTATGAAAAGAAGCAATTGAGCTATAAGCATACTGTGATTTCTAAAGGCATGGCAGAATTATTTATCTCTTTCTTAGTAAACTTCTATAAGAAAAATACGGCTTTATTTTGTTTTTGTTTTGTTATTTTGTTGAATCAGGAAGTTCGTGCTGAATGCCATATTCTCCCTAGGCCTGGAACCAGGAAGTTCGGGCTGAGCTATAAGCATACTGTGACTTCTAAAGGCATGGCAGAAGTATTTATCTCTTTCTTAGTAAACTTCTAAAAGAAAAATATGGCTTTATTTTGCTTTTGTTTTGTTATTTTGTAGAACCAGGAAGTTCGGGCTAAATGCCATAATCTCCCTAGATCCGGAACCAGCCTTTGTCAGTATCTTTTACGGCCCTGGACACTCCTTGTCCAAGACTCGAATCGGTGACTTCTTAGACAAATGTCTAGGGTACTGCTAGTTGACCTAGCTCGACCAGGTGGCTTTATTTTGTTTTTGCTCTTACCTAAGAGTTATATCGACTAAAGCAAATGACAAAACTCTTCATAATGATTAACTCCTTCGACATGTTGTTCAAGAAAATTAAATAATTGATCAATGTGTATTCTTACAACAAAATATATAGAAAAATATGTTATAAGACCCTTAATCATCTACATTAGTCATTGCATCCAATCTGATAGTATAAGATCTGGTGTTTGCGTTAAGAATTCTGAGCTTTGGTTTAGAGTCTTAGATGCGTTTACCTCAAAGGGACATAGGTTTGCCGAGCTGAGTGAGAGACGATCTGTTGATTAAGTTCAGGCCCGGCTCATCAAAGTATGGGCCTTATGCTGAGAAATGTTTTTCTTCCAAGTTATAGTGACATATGTAGGGAAAAAGGTCGATTAAACCCTGAAGTATCAAACATTGGCTAAAAAAACACAAAGTTCTTCTCTCCCCAAATAAACCATGACGTTTAAGTTGACCAACTCGTATTAACCTTGCCAACGTCAACGTTAAGTGTCACTAAACTGAAAAACGTTAAGTTTATTTTCTGTTTCTTAAATCTTGTAATTAACAATGTAAACCTTAGAATCTGGACATATACTTTAGGACTAGAAATTATTGTATTTTCTCGTTGTGGCTCTATTGTGAAATCTTCTTTGGTTTCCTCTGCAACTAAAAATACAGATGAGAATTTGCAAATGTATTCTTCTAATACCCAAAGACAAATGTCAAAATAAAATTAAGTATCAACACATTTCACCAAAACAAGCTATTCATAAATATGAAAATAGAACTGAAACAAAATCCCACAACACTGAACTTTAAAATATAGAAACAGAACTAAAAGAATATCATTCTTGCTAAATTCCACTATTTTCTCTTCCCTGCAGAACTCCACCGTGTGAGGTTTGGCCGTCCTGTAATACAAACCAAATGAAAAAAAAGTGTAAACACGTATAGAACTTAGTTAAGTAAAGAATGAAACTAAGTAAACAAACATAATAACCTGATTTTTTTTGGGTCGACCTCTAGGTCGTTTCTCCAGAACTACAAGTGAATTGGAGCAACGTCTTTTGTTATGGCCTTCTTGTTTACAACGTGAGCATGTTGGTATACGACCATCCCGAGTTAACTTTCCCTTATTAGAAGCCGATTCATAAGGACCTTTACGCCTAGCGTGAGTACTCTCTCTACCACGATTGTTTGATCTCGATGGTGGTGGCAACACATGTAATCTGTTTAACCTTGGCCATAATTTCATACCTTGAACAGGTTGGATACCACGAACATAAGCTTGTCGCCACTTTTTCGTAGTGTAGTACTCAGATACATAGTCCTCAGCCTTTAGTTTTAATGCTGTGATAACACACATGGCATGAATGCATGGTATACCATTCAACTGCCACATCACGCAACCACAAGTTCTTGAGGCCATATTAACCCGATAAGCAACACCATGGTAGTCTATCTCATGCACGTATCCAGTACTCATGTATCTAATGCATTCTTTGGCCTTTCCTCTAGCTATCTCAATCTCAGCATTAGCTCTAGGAGTAAACTTAGTCTTCAGTCTATTTGCAACAACTAATCTCTTTGCATTACGCTGCATGCATTGTCTTCTAATATCTTCTAACATGTCGAGTAATGGCTTTCTCCTAGCATCACTAATGCTTCTGTTGAAAGACTCACAAAGGTTATTCAAATTGTCATTGCAACAAGACCCTAGCTTAAAGAAGGCACGANTTGTATAACTTCGTGCTATCCTCCAAAACATACGCTCAAGTTCTATATCAGTGTTTTTTTTCTTCCAGTTTTTCAAAATGTGTTTTGCGCACATACGATGTTCTGCCTCGGGAAGGTTATTTTGAACTGCATTCAACAAACCCTGCAAAAAATAAAATTACAGTTAGTCCTATTAACTTAACTTTAAAATAAAATAAAATACTTACCACATGCTTGTCAGATATAACTGTTATGTTTCTTCCGTCTTCGAGTTTTAAATCATTTTTCATATGCTTCACAAACCAGTCCCAGTTGTCAATACTCTCTACTTCTACAACTGCCCATGCAATGGGAAAGATTCTATTGTCTCCATCTCTACCAACCGCAGCTAGCAACACTCCTTTGATATCCCACTTGAGAAATCTACCATCTAATCCTATAATGGGTCTACAATATTGTCTCCAAGATTCTCGCAATGATTCAAAGCAAACATAAAGACGATAGAATCTTTGTAGACTTCCCGGTGTTGGCCCTGGAATTGTTTCAATATCCATGGTAGACCCTGAATTAGAGGCAAGGATCTCTGGACTTGGATTAGAACTAAGGATCTCTGCTTGATAATCCCATATTCTTGCAAAGTGCTTTTCATGACTGGCCTTCCTTTCAGCAACAAGTTTTGTCTTGACCTTTTTGCATTGTTCCTCACTAACAATTAGATTGTATTTCATTTTAACTTCATCTACCATTTCTTTTGCTGTGAATTTCGGATTTCTTCTTAACCTCTCTTCAAAGAGCTGCGCAATTGATGAAATTTTCAGAACCTTAGAGTAACCGGATCTAACACAACTATGCTCATTTATGTAAACCTTGACCATCAGCTTGTTTTTACCTCTTTCAAACGAACAATACACTCTCCACGGACACTCTTTATCTGAACACATTGCACCAAGCTTAGAAGACTCAGACTTATACATTTTTATATCATACTCGGTCCTTAAAGCATATGTACGCAATGCATGTTTAAAATCAGCAGCAGCGCTAAAAGTCTGTCCCAACCATAAAACATTATCACCGCCACCCGGATTACGCAGCCTGCGCTCATCAAAATCATCATTGCCATCATCATCCTCATCATCAGAAGACAAAGGATCTGGAATAACATCATCATTCCACACATCATCTCCACTATCAGCACCATCACTTTTATCAGTCAAATTATCTTGAGGAGTACTTCCAATGCGTTCTTCTAAATTTGTCACAGTTTCTTCTTCAACTCCTAAGCCTTCTTCAGTATGGTTATCCTCTAAACCATCTCCTATGTCCTCACACACAGCATCACAATCATCTTCTTCATCACAACATAATCTAGTACCATCATTTATCTCATGATCTTCTCCGTTAAACTGATTTTCTCTATTATATTCACCAGTATAACTACAAAAAATGAAGCCATGTAACACTAGAAGATCCATAACATGAAACAATGGCAAGAACATGATTATTACCTCACATGGTTCATTGGTTCAGCCTCTGGCTGAGTCATCATCTCAGTTTTGGTCTCAATTGTTTCTCCGGTTGTTGTCATCTCACATCGGCGAATCAGGAGTTTTGTTCTTCTACAACTAGCCATCGTCTCAGAGAAGCATTGTCTCAATTAAATACAGCCAAGGATAAAGGCACCAGCCACGCTAGCAATCACCACTCAAGCTTTGTATTTTATGTAGTTAGTTGGCGACAGAGAAAACAAGTAGTTACAGATTTTAGGGTTTTCTTTAATATCATGAAGAAAAAGTAAAAAAAAAATTAATGTTAACATTTTTGTGCTCATTAACGTAACAATAAACGTTGACGTTTAAATGGTTAAATTGGCGTAGTCAACTTTTAGTTGAGGGTTTGTTTGGAGAGATGAGAACTTGGTGATTTTTTTAGCTAATCTTTGATACTTCGGGGTTTAATTGACCTTTTTCCCGACATATGTACTTGAAAATTTTAATATTAAAACCCTAATCTATATGATAGGTAAAATAATCTATATGTTTTTTTTTGAAAAAGAGGACCCTAGTTTCTTAATGAAAGTTACCAAAAAAAAATTTAAGGGCTAATGCAAAAGCACTGCTAGCACATGCCTTTAGCCGGCACCGATTAAAGATGTTTCCCAAACTTTAAGCATGTTCTGAAATTTAGAGCGAGAGAATGAGGGAAAGGAGAAAGAGAGAGAGTTTCAGAAGACAAGGCACGTTGTGAGAATCAAGTGTCCCACTTGAGAGTTTAATAAGATTTCAATCATCAAAACTTAAACCCACTGTCGATATACGGTCGTCATATGCTTGTTCAGTGATTGGGTTCCTTTCTAAGCTCAAACCGCTGTCAATCCTAATTATTTCTTTTTATTCGAATAATAAAATTACTATTATTTTGTTGGAAATTTTGTAATTTTGTGTGGATATTATTGATCAATTTTTTGTTGTGTATAACTTATGAGTTGTACTTGTGCCCCCTTATCCTTGAGGTATATCTTGAATTGGTAGAAGTTTGAGTAATAATAAAAACACTAGATATCAATCAACTTGCGCGGATATATATATATATCTATATATATAGAACAAATTTCTTATATATTTTATTAATAATTAACAAAATTAAAGTGGATATCGAAATGAAATAAAAAATATAATAAATTTGTAAATACTTTTTGGCTTTTGGGATGAAACATTTGTCAATAACATGACTTATTATGAAACAAGTGGTGATCATAACGTATTTTGTATACCTCGCTTTAACATTCTATTAAATTTTAAAAATAAATCTATTAAATATATGAAAACTATATATACCAGATAAATTTTAAATGAGAAATGTATACATATGGTACCATAGCTTATGTCCGAGTTATGGGGCACTAATTTACATGATTGATACAAATCGTGAATTTATGTATATTAATTTTACATGTATAACGATAGATTATGTAACTACATATTAGTATTTTCATTTACAAATCCTTTACAGTTAAGTTTATATATATATATATATATATATATATATATTTGTTGTAATTAACAAATTATGTCATATGAATTCTAATGGTAATTGTTGTAATTTCTCTAATAAGTAAAAGTATGTTAAATATGAAAGTTGAAGAAGGTATGTTTCCACATCAATCAATTAAATAAATTATTAAGTCATGGTTTTTTATTTCAAATGATCTTTATATATAAGGAATTATGAGAATCAAACATACAAATAAAAGACATTTGCTTTTTTATTAAACTACTGCGTAGTTGTATATCGTCATACTCTCAGCTAGTTATTTTGATTATATATAGATACTTGATGAACTTTTTTCTTTTCTTGAAACTTAGTTTTACGTAAACTTTAGTTGGTTTGTCTTTTTCTTTCTCAACTACTTATAGCCAATGTTTAGCTAGTAATAAACCTATTGAAATTGGAAAGAAAAAACATTATATGTATTACAATTTCTTTTCTCTTAGTGATAATAAGATTGAGTCTACTTGAGCCTGAATGTCTTTTTTTTTTGTTGTTGTTGAATAAGCAGAGTAAATGGCGTACATCTTCAACTCTGTGTGTATGTCCGAAGTTAGTGGTCAAGTACCGAAAATGCATAAGTAATATTTCATAATCAATCACAATAATGGATTTTTTTTTTCTGAAACTAATGGAATTTTTCTTCTTGTTCTAATAAATAATTTAACACATGTGCAACTTCGGTCGATACAAGGCTTTTATTTTACATTATGGAGAACTCATGCAATAATGATCATACAAATGATATAGAACTCAAGATAGACATTGTTTTCCTCACCAAAGAAAAGCCCACCGTAACATAGTCACGTGGGAAAAGCGTAGCATCTAAACCATCGACGATAACTCGTCGAGAAAAAAAACTTCTAGACCTTAAAAAAAAGCCACGACAGACGAACAAGAAATGATAAGTAGGAAGAGGAGAAGGAGGTGATCGCTATAGCGAGCTAATACTGCTTTTAGTATATGTACAAAAAAAAAGCAGATTAGAAAAACATGTTTTGGTGTTTGATGGGGTTAAGAAGTGAGGTTATTGAAGGAGTTGGATTTGTCAAGAATAGACCACATGACGAGAACATCGTCGTATCCACAAGCCATCACTTCTCCTTGAAGTTCTTGTACTATCCTCCTCTCGTGCTCTTCCCTCGCTTTCGCATCCATTCTTCCACCACGGCGGCCGCCCTTTTGTGGCGATTGCTGCGGTTGGTTGAAAAGTGTTGCTGCCTTCTTGAATGGTGTTGCTATTGTTTTCTTCCATGATGCCATTTTTTTTTAATTATTCTGTTTATTACTCGATTCTTGAAAAGAGGAAACCTTCTTCTTCTAATCAGAGAATCGGATTGGTAGAGCTCGAGAACGACTTGTTGTGGTATTTATACACATACACCCTCTCTCTCTCTCTTAACATATTATAATAGTAGTTATTAATTAAGACATATTATAATAGTAGTTATTAATTAAGAGGGATTATTAATGGTAAAGCAAAGAGGAAACGATGTTAAAAAAAACAGAGGGGGGGGGGGAGAGAGGCAAATTACAACACAGCCTACTTTCAAAATCGACAAGTTGTATGTAATATCATGTAACCAAACCGGATCAAACCGAACCTATCCAAACCCAACACATATGAGAAGCAAATGAAATCAAGAGTTTGCCTCTTCCCACTCCTTGGTACTGAGAATTACAAATGCTATTGCATATCTTTTCATTCACATCCACTTCCCGGAGTGTGATATATTGACATGCCCATCTTCCTTTTATTTATTTATCACCCATCTATACATCAACTTCTATCTATTTGCTATCTTCATCAATATAATAGCTCATCTAGTAAAGAGATAGATATTTATGTTGATTAATTTTGATGGCTAGAAAACGGTAAGAAATGTATGAAATTGGCAGGACCAATGATTGGAGGATTGAGGTGGGCACAGATTGGTCAGTAATATCCCATGTGATTTCCACATGCTTCTCTGCTTCTCTATCTCTTACCCTCTTTCCATCCAGCTCTTTGTATTAAAAATATAATCAGTATTTTTTTTTCTGTCAAAAATCAGTGTTTTTCTTACTCTGAAATATACATCTATCACCAGTGTATAGTTCTCATTTAACATCATAAATATATAAATAATCTTGACACTGTACGCAACTTAGAACAAAAGCTTTCTTTCTCAGATATTTTTTGTGCACTCAAGCTTTTCAATTCTTCGATAGTCTAAACCCCTACCTTTGATAACCAATTCTTAATCTAAATTTGCATATGGCTGTTTCAGTTAGTATTTTCATTTCTTATTTGACTATTTGAAATAAAAGACAAATAAATTCACCCGTATGCACGCTCTAGATTACAAGATTCCTTTTGCATATATATGGACGATACATTATACATTAGACATTTATGTTTAGCTTAGGTAAAAGGGAACCCAAGTAGTAAAATTGACGTAGCTTAAAAGTAATGCTATAGTTTTCTTCTTTTGTCATTAGTTTAAAACATTTTAGAAAGAATATTTTGCATGAGATCAGCAGGAACAACGGCAGTGCATGTTTCATCTTCTCGTTAAAATAGAATTTGTTGCTGAACTCGTTAACAAATGAGGTTCTACATCAACTCTTTTCACACACAAAAAAAAGGTTCTACATCGATAGTAAAAAAAAGAAGTTAATTTATAATAATGGATACGGCCACTCGAATAAATTTAATGAGCTTTAAATTAGAAATGATTAGTATGAATTTCACATAATTTAATTAAAACTAGAATTTAGGGTGTAGGTAATCCTAAGATTTAATGTATATACTTATATATACGTATATATATGTATATCAGTATATGTGTATGAATGTGTATATATATACATGCATGCGTATATATATATATGTATATGTGTATGATTGTGATATATTTATGAATATATGTATGTGTCTGTATATGTGCATGTATATATATATGCATTTGAATATACGTATATTTATTATTTTTTAATGTGTATGTATCTATCTATATGTATATGTTTGACCAAAAAATATGTGCGTATTTTTATGTGTATATATATATATATATGTGTATGCATATGTATATATGTTTGCATATATGTATATGTGTTTGGGTTGTGTATTTATACATGAATATATATATATATATATATATATATATATATATATGTATGTATGTGTGTATGTAGTTGTCCAAAAAATTATATATTTTATACGTGTGTGATTTCAATGAATAAAATAATATGTTTTATTTGTTTTCACTAAGTATAAGTTTTATTTTATTTTGTTTGCACTAATTAAGAATCTAAGTTAAAGATAATTACCTTTTTAGGATTTTAAAATTTTGAAAACAAAGTTTTGAGATAAAAACATCTAACAATAATAATAGGAGAATAATCTCAATACATAGAGTGTCCACGTAAGATTAAAAAACCAATGAGGGGATTTTAATTTTCCATGTCATCCTATCTGCTGAGTTCGGGTCATTCTTGCGACTCGCCGTCTCTGTTTCTCTTGCAAATTTTATCTTCTTGTCTCTTTACCTTCATGTTGTTCAATGTTTTTGATATGTTGTGTTTTTGATACCATTCTCATGTGTTTTTGATATCATTTAAGTGCTATCTTGGAGTTCTCTTAGTGTGTTTTGAGTCATTTCAGGTGGAGAATGTACTGGATTGCACTGGAGGTACGCATGAGTGAAAAGGTGCAAGAAGAGAGTGTTTTGTTTCGCGGAGCAAGCACATGGGTAGGCACACACATCGCGGAGCAACCCCTGCCTTTCCACACCTTGCTCCCGCGTTTTAATGAGCCATGATCTATTTCGGGAAAGCTTCTGTCTACCCTAGCAGAAGTCTATTTTACCTAATAGGAGGACTCTGGCCGCCTCCTGACTACTCAACTTTTCGACCAGAGACAAAAATACATTAGTTTTTACAAGTTTTTGAGAGTTCTTGTTGAAGATTTGTTCTTGCTATTTTGTAAGGGTCAAGACTTGCTCCTCTTGGTTTTCTAGAGAAGAAATCTCTGAACCCTCTTAATACTCGATTTATTTGATGCATTATTCAGTATTGATTTGTGTGCTTTCTTGTGCTATGGTTGAGTAGTTGATTTGTTAGCCTAGGATTCTAGGGTGTTGATCCAATGAACTGAACATAGAGAAGTATCATTATTGCCTTTGCTCTCCACTGTT